TGGTATTAGAAGTATGTGTAAGATCTGGGAAACCTTTTAAGTAAAAAATACCTGTTTCAGGGTTCCCAGCTCTTCCATAATAAACTTAATACTTAATTCCAAAACAAAGTTATATAAAAAAGTTTCTATAAGATAATATTGCAAAGCGTTAAACAAAAAATATATACTATATTCTGAATTCATGTCAAATAATAGTATTTTAAACATATAAAAGTTCATGGAATACTAGTTGTTTAAGAATATTTTTTTATTTATTATTAATCTAGTAATAACATTATTTATAAGGTTAAATATTTAATACTATAAATCATTTTACGAAAAAACTGTGACATTAAAACTGTTGAGAAAGATATGATATACTGCATCTTAGAATGCTAAGGTCAAACAAGATCGGACTGATTCTGATTGTATATTTTATTCGTGATGAGCCTATAGATAATAAATAATAGATTATCACATAGTTAATGACTTCATTATGCTATAGAATATACACAAAACATAATATATTATGAGGATATTGATATTTTCCACCTCACCAAAGATGTGAGGAAATATTTGAAGAGGCGGGAAGACTTTGATTTTATGTAATGTATTTAACATTCGCTCGAACGGTGAAGTAAAACATTGTGAGGATACCGGCCTTTGACTCAAAAGTTGTCGGCGTGTGTCAAAGAAGGCTGATCGCCAATTAGATGGATAAGTGATCCTGAAACAGATATAAAAATCTGACGGCCAGACCTAAAAAAAAAAGGTGGTAGCGCTACAAATTTTTTTTTTAGATTAATAAACGATAAATACTCATTTATACACGGGGTATGAAGATTTAATTATTGGAAGTCGGTGCTAAGATTCCTTGCGTATATCATTTAACCCTTTAAACATCCTGATCAGTGCACAGAGGAGCATTACCTATTTATAACCTCTTCCATAGCTTTTATTAAGTCGGTAAGAAATATTTGACGCCTTCGACAGTTGTTATGCAATGTCGGTCTAAGGGTTGTCGACTTATTTCAACACGAGAATTTTAACTGTATATGTTATTATAGAATGAAAAAAATGGTGCGTGTACTAATGTACGCGCGTAAGAAGTTATACTTCTTTGGATTTCTTTATTTTTTTTAAATATTAAATAATTAATAATAAATATTTAACGTTAATAATTTACTAATATTTAATATTTAGTACATTATTCAATTATTAATTAATACTAAAAATTATTATTATTATTATGTATTATTTTATAATATTATTAATTCAATTTAATGAATGTTTCATAACCTTTTAACTAAGTAACAATAGGTCTTTGTGAAAAAGCATTGCTAAATTTCTTTGAAAAAATAATTAAAACTCCTTTATTTGTTCAAAAGGTACCACTACAAATGTCATTATGGTCATTCAAAATTCTTGGCATAGCTGCTAACTTCACGCATATTCTATTTCTTTTTACTTGTAGATTGTCTTGTTCCCATCTCGCTCGCGCACGCTTGGCGCCCATACTGATAATTTTGTGTCACGGTGCGCGCGCATCGTAAAATTTCACTCTTATCAATTTTTCATAACGTGCCTAAAGAAGTATAACTTCAATAAAAAGTAATAAACAAATAGTTTTATGTCTACAAAATTATGTTTTGTTAACAGCTAATAAATACTGTGATAGAATTATATTTGTAGCTATCGACACTGGCTTATCCATCAATATCTTTTCTTTTTTTGCAATAATTTTATCTGTGGTTTTCAACTAACTGATGAGTGTTTGAACTGAAATTATTCTAATTGTAGGGGATTTACTAAATCGTGGCAAATTAATATACAGGGGAATACATTGTACCCGGTTAAGTAAGTCCACAACATATTAGCCCCATATATATGGTCGCACGTCAAGGATAGAGGATTAGTAAAAAAAATTATCATCAGAAAATTTCGAGCGCCTCAGATTAAGGCAGGGCGGGTTAATCACATGCTAAAAAGTGTATTTCACTAATCTGACAATTTGCAAGTGACGAAAAAAGTAAGTTGTAAAACGTTGTAAAAAAAACGTCATCTTGACATTCTCGATTTTTTTCTATTTTGAAGGAAATAATTCAAGGATGACGGAAAATAATATAATCTGACGATTACCACAAGCCGAAGTAACAAAATAAAGAATTATTAATGTTCGCAGTAACTACACAGCATTATAACTTATACTTTAATGTATAATTTACTTTCGTATTACCTTAAAAATAAATAAAATAATAGCCATATGATTATTATAATTGCTTAAAAAATTCCCTAAAAACCCGCGAGACATTGAAAAAGTTGTTCAACGATATAAATTATAATAAATTTTTAACATACGTAAATACAAAATGTTTTAAAGCGTCTTTCATTTGATTAAAGAAATAATAATGTCCACACGCAAAATTTTGATAATAATCGGTTCTCAAAATGTGTTAGGATAAACAGCAAATGTCATGTAGTGAATTAATAAAAATTTAATAGAATTGCAGAGTCTAATTTGAGCGTGCACGCACCTCTTAAGGTGGGAACTGACCAACGTTACGAGGTGTAATGTAACACGTTACACAGCGAGCATTCGTGCAGTCAGTACGTCGTGTTACGGGGAAACCAGCGAGGAGATAAGGAGGGAACTAGTAGTTTATTGTTTATTAGAATGCCAAAATCGTAAAATGACTGCTTCAGGACTGACTTGAGCGCGACCGCCGCTGCGAAAACCGCTGTGCGAGTTCGAAAAGTGAGTTACAGAATCGCAAGGCTGTTCTCAAATCAAGGGCGTAGAACGGTAGAAATAGGTAGCAGTGCTTAATAATCCGGATTACCAATACCATTTACTTAAGTTGTACATATACGTAAGTTATTTAATACCTCCGACGACAACATTGTCGTGTAATTAAGCAAATAATTGTGTAATTAATGGTTGCTGCTCCTTACAAACATTGTGTAAAACAAAAAACTTGGCGATTAAAAAGCACTCTTTTTTCTTTCGGAGAGTTTATTGTTAGTTCTTCTCTTCCGTTCTACGCCTTTGATTTGAAAACTGGAAGTAAATGTTAAATTAGAAGAGTTTAATGTATATTTCTTTTTTGACGTTCTGAAGTGTACATTGTGTTACCTATTAAGTGATTTTGTACTTTTTTATGTGTAGCTGTAAGATTAATTTTAAATAAATTGTTCCACGCCTGTGGTCAGGTTTTAGTTCTAAAATTAATTTATCTACAAGGATCTTAAAACTATAATAAATACTAATGCTTCAGTTCATGATTTATAATGTGGTCGAAGACTATCAAACCTGTTATCCAAATTTCTGTGGAATTGCGTAATCTTTGAACTTGACTATTAGCGGTCACCTGTCTGCCCACACAAATTCACTTTGTGACATCTATAAATTCAACAATAAAACGAAGGTTTGAGGTGTATTTCAACACTAGAAATGGGTTATGGTAATCTTCTGGTGGCATTTGAATTAATCTTTTAAAAAAGGAACAACAAATTTAATATTGAATAAATTGTCTGCTTCGATGCTTTCTTTTTTATCATACGCGAATAATCAAAGAATAAATAATAAATAGAGGAAGTTCTGAGAAGGTCTTTTTTTAAGGACAGGGGGGCAAACACGCAAGTTGGTCACTTAGAAATAAGTACTTACCTATTGGACACCTGCAACGCCTAGAGAAATAAAGAAAATAATGTTATATATAGTATATGTAGTTTTAACTGGAGCAAATCCCAAGGATTGATATAAATTTAAATAATCGTCAAATTTATAAAAAGCTTTATTCATTAATTTACGTTTATTATTAAGCAGAGCAGTTTTGCACTGGTGGCCTTAGCGTTTGAATCCCATCCGTGAAAAAGTCGGCGGCGTGTGTCAACACAGAAGGCTGATCACTTGCCTATAAGGTTGACAAATGATCATGAAACAGATACAGGAATCTGAGGCCCAGGCCTAAAATTGTTGTAGAGCCACTGGTTTTTTTAAATTTAGATATATGGTTCTTTCAACGTTTTTATTGTACTCTATAAAAACCGGAGATGTTAAAATGTAAAAACTAATGATCAATTTAAATGGAAACAATCGTCGGTCATGACATAAAGGTCAGTCTACTTATTAATGAGGATACAATTCGACTGATTTATCGGAGTTTTTAATCCGCCTAGAGAATGAAGGCTAACATGGATATAAATTGTGTTGGATTCATCTTTATTTTATTGCCAATACCAAAAACTTTAAGTATTTTAATACATAAACATTTTATTCATCGTATATTAAAATTATTTTTATTTAAGTATTAAAAAAATAAGTATTGTAATACAGCGAGGAAATGCTGCCAGCGTTAACCTTTAACTGCCACAGTGACCAAACTTTTTAAATGAGTTTTAAATTTATATTTATTAATTTTAATTATTATTATGTAGGTTACATACATACATTTGGACAGTTTATTTCCATATAACATGCGAATTTAGTAGTTAAATTTACTGCGATAATTGGTGATATTATTCTAATATAGATAATGTTTCATTAATTTTTCAATATAATTTTTTTGTGTTCATTCGATAAGAACAATGAAAAAAAAACGATTGATCGAATATTAATGGACCAATTAATTTATGGTTATGACTTTAAATATTATTTAAGATTAATAGATACCTGTTAATACCGGATTTGGGACGTTCAAAACATTCTTTATTTTGCAAAAACATATACCAAATAATTTGTTTCAGGTCAAATCAATTTTCGCAATTTATATACTGTATCTTAGGATTTCTTTAGATACTTAACTATGTCTAAATCCAATATAATTTTGACATACAGGTCATCCCAACCAGGTCAGCTGAATCATACCTGTACTCTTAGTTACTGAGTTAAACAAAACAAATGATACAGATAATTTTATAATTTATTTGTTTGTACATGATAACAGATAAAGAAAATGCAACAACAGATAAATGGCACTAATTTTAAACTAGTTTGATGTGATTGTCATTGTTGATCCTGTTTATTCCCGGGTGACGGGGGCGTACTTAGCGATGTAGGCCAGAGCGCGGGCGATCTGGGCTGGTACTTCTGGGGGCTGGGGGATAGCGTTTCCCTGAAAGATGCATTAGTATCGTATAGTATTAGCTTAAATTATACATAAGTAAATGTCGAAAAGAATTCCGGTGTTTCATATGTAACCATGGCAAACACATTGCACTGCGTAATTTTAATAATTGTTCAGTAAAATCAGGCTGGCTTTCAGCACGAAACACATGCCTTATTATTTACTTAGAATCCAGGTATTTTGTATACAATTAAGTGTATTTAATAAAAAAAAAACGGTAGGGTAGTTTTTTAAAAATGGAATCTTTTAACGGAAAGCTTAATAGCCCTTTTTATAACTTTACATATTTGGCACAGGCGTGCAACAAAATGCTTTCGTTTCGTTCAAGTTACTTGTTACTGTAAGAAGAATTTGAAGAGAAATTTTTACTTACTTGGGGCTGGTAACCGTTCTCATCGGCGACGTAGGTCATTGAGATGACTTCTCCCTCGGGAGAGGTCCAGGAGAAAGATCCTTGGGCCACAGAGGGGGATACTGGGGGGTTACCGGCGAAGGTACGTGGGACACCCTGGGCTTGAGCCGCGATACCGTTGTTGGTCTCGTAGCTATAAAACGAAATTACAAGCTGAGAGGACAAGTAACAATTTAATGTGAATTTCTGTAAATATTTCGCGCAATTACGATTCAAAATTGTTACATTTTCTTAGCGCTTATAATATTTTTTCTTAATGAATGATCATAAGAAGAATGTGTACTCACAAGTAGTTGAAGCTGCCGTCAGCTTCGACTTCGTTGCCGTACCTCACGGTTTCAGCGGAACGTGCATCAGCAGCAACCTTGGCGACAGCAACGACTGGTTTTGGGGCTGGGACGGGGGTAAACTTGCCGACAGTAACGGCAACTGGGGCCTCAGTAACGGTCACTGCAGGGCGGACGGGGAAGGGAGTGGAAGTAACGAAGGGTTTGTAGGTGGGTTGGGAGGATTGGAAACGGTTGTATTGGTTGTATTGGTTACGTCCATTGAATTGGTTGCTGTAGGGGTTGTATTGGTTGAGCTTCTTGTACTGACCACTCTGGTCCTTTTGTGGGAAGTATTGTCCCTGGTTGAATTGAGCGCTGGCAACTGCCACAACGCAGGCGATAAGTACCTGTTTCCAAAAAAACACTGTATTATAAGTTCTTAATTTAAAATAAATACAATTTAAAATTAACTCACGGCGAATCTCATTTTTGATTATTTTGATTGTTGCCTAGTTTGGTTGAACTAGTTCGAATGCCGGCAAAAAATCCGCGCACGCTTATATATGGCTCAAGAAACCACCTACTACGAATACGAATTGCAATAATATTTTAATTTGTTGCGGATCAAAGGAACAGTTTTTTTTACAAACAACACTGGATTCATCTGTATAGCGTGTTATTTGATCTATTTTTAATAGAACAACTTCGTTTTTTTAACAATATTATTTATTACATTTTAAGATAAGATTATTTTAAATACTGAGAGAAATAATTTAAAGTTGACAGCGAGTATACCTTTTTTTAATTATTTATTAGAGAATTAAAATTATTAACGTTTTTCTTTACCCCATCTTAATTGTAGTCACAATTAAAAGGGCTTTCAGACCTTTACAACTATGGGAGGCAGAAGTATATGTATTTTTATTTGTAATATCCTTATATAACTACAAAAGTAATTATATTCTGACAAAATGAGATAACTACATATGTTTTATCTGTAATATGTATATAATGTTATTTCATTTACCTGATACTGACATTTGTTGAAATAAAACCGCTGATACTTTAGAATTTACAGATATCTCTTGAAAATTATTATCAACCTATATTGTTTTGTTTAAATTTGATACTTGGACATAAGTGGGCGGGCCAAAGGTTATATATGCATAAATAGTCTAGACATCGCCTCATATGAATCAAGGAGACTGTTTTTTACCTTTAGGTGATTTATCTTTATTTTATATTGTCATTACACACCCTAACATACCCTATTTTTGCATAAATTGTTGTCTTTAGATAGAATCTTACAGGACGGTATTAACCATATAATTGCAGAATTGATCTGTTTGTTCGAGGTGCAGCTGATTTCTGTAATACATATAATAATAAAGCTACTTTAATTCAATACTGTAAAAAATTACACATCAAATAGGTGTTAGTTTTGTTGTTATACTCTTAGTCTTCGTTGGTAATTCTTATTTCCGTTTCTTTGGGGCCCGCAGTATGGTACGCAGTAAGGTAAGTTAAAAATTCTGGAGAAGGCCTTTGAGTAAAGGCCTTCTCCTGAACTTTTAATTTGGATCTGTGGTAATAATAATTACCAAAATAAATTAAATAATAAATAAATTGATTTGATTGATAATAATTATAAATCGTTATTATTCACATAGTGACATTATTTACATGCATGGGTAATGGGTATATACATGTATGGGTATAGATTCTTTATAACTTCTACAATGTTTTTTTTTACTGAAACATTTATATATTTATAAAAAAATATATTATGTACCTTAAATAACTATACAACAGAATAAAGAAATAAACTTTCGTTTATAAATTTAACATTTTTGTAATCCACCCTAACGAGCTCATTTATCATATCTTAAGGCACTTTTCTAACAATAAATACACATGCAATACAACCATTAATTTGCAAAGAGGTGAATTTCAATTATTGCTCCAAGCACTTTACATTATGTGTAAATAACAATCAAATTGTGTGACTAGGTAATACCCTTACTTATCATATTTTAGATAAAAGATTTAAGATAAAATTGCTATTAATAGAAATATTTTTTTTATATAATAGAAATATTACATGTAGCAAGTACGCTATAAAATGCTATTGCATCTTATTTTAATGTATGAATCTTATGGTTATGTGATTAAGATTATTTCTTTTTTGTGGTCCATTTCTGGACGTAGACCTTCTCCATTTTTCTCCATTATGCCCTGCAACCTCTGGGAGCAAAGTCCTTGACGATGTCGTCAGTACACCTGGTTGGTGCGCGGCCGCGCGATCTTTTGTTCTGCTGAGATCTCCATTCAAGGAGCCTGCGTAGGAGATGCCCACATTCTCTTTGGCATTGAGTTTCCATGGGCAACGATGTCACTTAACATAATTTGAGCCTCCTGCCTGATTACCCCTGGTGTTTGGAGGATTGCTTATAAGCTATAAGATAAATTGAAATCACATTATTACCGTATTTTATGTTTTTTGTTTTCTTGTGTGCAAAGGTTTTGATAGTTAAACTTATCAGTTATGAATATGGCTTTTAGTTTCTGGATCTGTTGATAATTCTAAAATTCTGAGATTAAAGATAAACGTTCATCCTTTTGTACCAAACACACGATTATGGATCTAAATTGGGTTTCCTAACAATTATCATACAATGTTTCAATTTTACGTTACATCAAAAATACGTGCTCCTTCAACTAATCATACAGGGCAAGTGGCAGGTAGAAGGAGCCCTGGCCGACGCACGTCTTAGTTGAAAAATCTTAGAAATTGGTTTGGTTAAAGCACGAAGTCATTGTTTAGAAGCGCGGCGCGCGCGGAAGAATCTAAAATTAAACTAGCACTAATGATCGCCAACCTTCACAAGGATAAGTCAATATAAGACGAACAATTTTCATTCAACGAACAGAAAGGAAAATGCATTTACACTACCACTAATCATATGCTAAATAGACAAAATTTTGCGGATTATTTCATAGACTATTATTCGCGCTTCAGCGTGCGACTCCCATCCCTGAGATCGTAGGTTCCATTATTGGCTGTGCACCAATGGACATTCTTTCTATGTGCGCATTTAACATTCGATCGAACAGTGAAGGAAAACATCGTGAGGAAACCGACATGTCTTAGACCCAAAAAGCCGACGGCGTGTGTCAGGCACAGGAGGCTGATCACTTGCCTATTAGATTGATAAATGATCATGAAACAGATTCAGAAATCTGAGGCCCTAAAGAGGTTGAAGAGCCACTGTTATTTTTTTAAATTATATATCTAAAAAAGCTTAATTTAAAAAAAACCCTACAATTTAACAACATGAAGAAATTATGTCCTCCACAAGAGTTTCATCATTCATTGACTATGTTTTATTACATGTCGGAATCAGTTTAAGTTTTCATATTAATTTTAAGTGGCTTCTGTCAAGGTCCTAATATTTTGAATGGATTAATCTTCAATAGTAATTAATTAATATATCATTTTATTGGTATAAATCCGTATGAGGATATTAAATCGAATGTAGAAATCTATGTAGTATCTGTCCCTCTGGGGTATAAAAAGATTTAAGAAGTTTGAATACGATATCTTAAATTTGAATCAAAGACAATGTTTTCTTAATGAGTAGGTATTATACATTCGTATTACCTACAATTTTAATTTGAAGTATTTAAAGTAATACTTAATTAATATTATAAATTAATAACCTTAAAAAATATAATATAATAACTAAAATATATTATTAAAAGAAGTCCCCTTAGGCAAGGTGCCGAAGATACTGGCAGCGTTCCCCCTTTGAATTTAAATTTTTAATTTTTTGTCCGAGGTAGCTGCCAGCTCTTCGTTCTCGTGTGTGTCGACTAACCTTTTTGATATTTCCTTAAAAACCTTATAGCGCTAGGACTCCACATACCAAGGGTCTCAACACCGAATGGGACAAAATCATATTCGGAGCCTAGCCTAGTATTTGCATGCTTTAGCTTTTTCAGCCGCTTCAAATTTAAATTAATTAATTTAATTATTTAATTTTGTTGTGTTACATGAATAATTATCATAGGTAAATAAGTTAAAATTTGTTCAACGTCTTGGTGGACGGAAAACAAGGAATAAACTCGATTTGTATCAACAATATAATAATAAAAATTAAAATTCACTCTACTCATTTCAAATGTATTTGTTATACAATTCTAAACTATTATTTTTTAATTTACAAAATTTTCCGCATGGAAACATAATGATGTCAATTTCGTTTTAATTATTTATAACTTTTACTCATTAAGGTGTGATACGATTAATTTTTAGTGTAATTAACACATATTTGCTATACGTATACTTGTGTAAATAAAAACCAATATAAAAGGTACTTCTCTAAAACTCCGAATCCGTATTTAATTAATAACTTTGATGAGTTATAAAGAACTGCACAATCAGCTATGTGAAATCAAAAATGTCTAATTGTAATTAAAAACAATTAAACTATTTATCATTTACAGTATATAATATCAGTAAGTCAAAAGCAAAACCCAAAGAACTCCTGCGTGTTTTAACTGCCCTGCGATTCTGTAACTCACATTTCGAACTCACACAGCGGTTTTCGCAGATCGACCGCCGATGCGAAAACCGCTGTGTGAGTTCGAAAAGTGAGTTACAGAATCGCAGGGCTGTCCTTTAAAAAACGAATCCCACTTTTTTAATATTATAAATTAAAATATGACTAGTAAAATACATATATTCGAATAGTTTTAAAATCAAGAAGCGTTGAGTTAATCGTTTATTTATTCCTATGACGAATTTGATACCAGTATATTTAAAATTTACGTCAAAACTTGACATGTTCCAAGGCTATATTTAACTATAATTATTAAAGTGGAGCGTCTGCTTCAAATCCTGATATAATAGATCATGGTATATTTCATTTGGTCTTTGAGAATGCGGAAATGTAAAAACTTATAAATTAACTTAAAGTCTATCATAGAATTAGGAAAAAGGAAAATTAAGTTTTATTGGAATTGCATAATAAATTGGTTTAAGGTCCTATTTCCTATTTATTTATATTGACCCAACTTGGGACTTAATTACTAATGAATATTTTAATTTAACCTTACATTTAACCTAAGGTACCGAGCTCTAGCAATCTCAACATTAGAAATACACAAAAGAACCCGCATTGGGATTATAATCTGTTATCTCGTTTATTCATGTTAAAAATTTCACATGAGTGATAAGGACAAGACATAGATTCATAGTATTCTTTTGAAGGTTTACAAAAGAGTTGTGAACTTTTGTGCTCGAGTGTAGGTATGGTTTCTTGGTTTTTTCTACCGAGGTTGCCTTGGAAATTTAATCGTAACTAAAATTTTCGCTTTATTACCTGTGTGTCTAATACTTACACATTTTTAACACGTGAACCCGTTACTGAATAATGTAAGGTGCCAGAGTTATAGTTTTTAGTTTTTTTATTATTTACAAAAGAATTGAATATTTATACGGTTTTTATCTTAAAAAGTGTTTATTTGACAGTTATTATAAGGTATATTACATAAATAATTCAACCTATTATATTTAATAATTAAATGACCTTTAAATTAACAAATAACTTAAATAAAAACATCCATTCCGCGACACCGCGAAACATGTACGCTTCCCTGCTTAAGCAGGGAAGCCTGTGACCTGAAGGCCACAGGCCTGCTTCCGCCAAGCTATAACCCGTCACAGGGCCTATTAAAGCTCCATTGGAATCGCTTTCAAAAGAAATATCTTAAACACTAAGAAATATTATCAAAATTATAGAGATTTAATCCGGTTTTCAATTCAATTCGTACATAAATAAACGTGTTTCAATTATATATTTTATGTAAATTTAATGTACAAATATATTTTAAAAGATGGGCGAGTTTTAAGTAAATACCAAAGCAATATGATTCATCCAATAATTTGTTGGTAAAGCTGTATCCGTTTCGCTTCTCAATTTTATTGTTATTGTATGAATATTTCAATCTCTTTAGTATATAGACTGCTGTTTTTTTCACTTTGTAATTATAAAGGAGACTTCCTTGGACGAGTTATTTTAATTTATTTGAATATGAAGCTGTGTCCTTCCTTTTAGTATAGTATTGTACATTAAAAGATGTCTCGACCAGTGTTGGCCTAGTGCCTTGAGAATGGACTATTCTTTCTTCCTATGTGCAATTAACACTCACCCGTTCGTAAATAAAATATTTTTGTTATTTTTTTAAATTTATAATACTATAAAATGTAATTATTTTATTTTATCTCACATACTGTTTTATTGTGTTTTTTTATATTATTTTTATTACTCTTTAATGTACAATATTCTACGGTTTCGATATTTGTAAATATGTGAGGAACATGTAGGTATACTAACTTTTTTAGTATAGTAGTTTTATTCTAAGAGTACATTGTCTTCACATATCATTATTTAACTAATGTAAACAAAATATTGTAAACCTATTTTAAAAGAGTAAGTGTGGAGTTTCTTGCCCATTCTTCTCCACACGAAACTTTGCAAGGGGCAACTAGAATCTTCTTTATATTTTATTTGACGTTCAAAGGTGCCATTTTGGGTGGTCTAATTGAAATAAATGATTTGACTTTTACTTTACCTACTTGTCTATTAGAAAAAAAATCTCGAAATAGATACAGAAATCTGACCAAGAACAAAGATTGTAGAATCCAAGGCCAAGGTAATGATGCAACTATAGCACACAATATTTTACTTGAATTACCTTATAAACATAATAATTAAAATAGCTTCAGCTTAGTTGAAACCCATTTACTATTACAAACAAACCATACTATTTCAGCTTCAGCTTCAAAAAATCATTTATTCATATAGGTAACACAATGTACACTAATGAACGTCATATATTAAATGCTTCTATTTTTACATTTGCTGCCAGTTCTCAAATCAAGGGCGTAGAACGGAAAAAAAGAACTGGCAATAAACTCTCCGCCACTCTTTTTAATCGCCAAGTTTTTTGTTTTACACAATGTTTGTAAAGAGCTGCAACCTTTACACCGTGTTCCACATGACATATTAGGTAATTAATAGTTAGTTAATAATATGAAGCTCTCAATTTTATAGTCTGATTCAATATCTATTATTACAGCATTGCAAAATTTGTTTTTTCAGACACACGACGGACTATTAATGTGTGGCCGATGATTTAAATAATACCAATGGGCTAACCTTCAAAAATGTGTAGAGAAAACATAGAAACAATTTGTATGTAAAACTTGGTCGCTAGAATATTATTAGAACGAATATATATGCGTAAAGCTATGGTGAAACTTTTGCTAAATTACTCAATCAATAATGGTGAGTTCTAACATTAACAGATGAATAAAAACCTTGCAAAAAGTTGTCTATTTTATGGATTCTTAACGAATCAATAAATCTTTTGTTACTATTGTGAAATATTATCGCATTCACTTGTTAATTTAGCGGTCCTACACAAATTTTGTATTAACTACATTTAGTTATTTATATTAAACAGGTAACACTACAAACTTTTTTATTTATATTATACAAATAACTTACCTGTTTAAGAATAATAATCAAACATTGATAAAAAGAAGATTAAACAAAAAAAATGTGTGGCACTCGGGGACTGCCGCGGTAAAGCTATCGAAACTTGAAGCTTTAATTAACGCCTGTGCACTTGAACACGACGGCCCAAGAGTCCTTACCCCAAAGGGAACAAAATCAAATTTAGAATTACATATGTTCAATGATAAGAATTTACTTCAGTGAATATTGGCATCGTTTATTTTCTTACAATTTAAAGAACTTATATATGAGTTGACCTTTACATCTTTGCATCCTGGGTTAATAAAAATCTTGGTTAATATTATCTTAATGCTACCTGCTCCTGTACTATGTTACTCCTTAGCTATTAGTATAAGATCCCGCTATACAACGACCTTCACCGAGATGCTTATTTAATGAAACTTATTTTATATTTAATTTAATATGTCAATAAATATAATCCATATGGGTTGCCTAGCAAATTTCAGTCCAGAGTATGTTTAATTAATATTAAAAATTTTTTTTTTTATAATTAAATTTAATTATAATTTGCATGTAGTAAATTTTTTGAACTTTTTTCAATCAATATTTTTAATCAGGGTAGTATTATATATGTATCACTATAACCTTCTTTTATACTAAAGATGTATATACGTATATACTTTAGTGTCACATAAAAAATATACACATAAATAATTAATTGATTAAAAACAACCTAACGTTTGCATATTCTATGGGCTTTATACATTCGATTGGTATAGAATTTATCTAACAATCATACCGGTGAAATGTTTAAAAAAAAATTTTTTTTTTTAAATTATTAAACATACTCTGGACTGAAATTTGCTAGGCAACCCATATGGATTATATTTATTGACATATTAAATTATATATAAAATAAGTTTCATTAAGTAAGCATCTCGGTGAAGGTCGTTGTATAGCGGGATCTTAGACCATATTTGAAGTTACCGGCGCTGGAAATGCTGTTCTGTCAACGATTATACTCCAACTATGCTTTTGTATAGAAGTATTTATTTTTAAATACATCGAAATATTAAATTTATTAATGTTATTAATAAGCTTAGGTGGCGCTGATTGGATTGTTGGGTCTGGTGTTCGATTTCAAATGATTAAATTAATTGCCGTAATATATCATTTTGCAATTTTTAAAATACAAATATCTACCAAATCCATATAAAGCCGCGTATCGACTACGTGCTCCAAGAGGGCGAACATTGGCGCGCGCTCCAGCCGCGCGCAATGGATACCACTTTGGAACGCGCGCCAATGTGTTCGTTGGAGCGCACGAACGCGGAGCGGTCCGTTCCGACGGGTGTCGGTTTTTTACCACGCATCAATCGTGGCGCGCGCGCCAGTTGGGACGGACATATCGTATTTTTTTGTGTTTGTTGCGCTCCCAATTATGGAGTTGCCATAAATTAATACATCTGTATGGTACAAAAGAACTACTGTGGAATAGCAAAAGTTCTTCGTATCATAATAAATCGCTTAGAGAAGATGCTTGGAGAGAAATCAGTAGTGAAATGGGAGTCCCTAAATAGAATTAAAGAAAAAAATTACTGTGCTCCGTAATTACTGTATCATCGTACAGAAGAGAAAAATTGAGAGTATCTAAAAGCCAAACCACTGGCTCTGGCTTTTCTTGTTTATAATACTGTGAATAATTACAAAAGCTGCTGCTGACTGGCTTCCATGATGAAGGGTCGAACACTGCAACAGTTGCCACGCGCGCCAGGCGCGCTTAGTTGATATACTTCAAATATTTGGAACGCGTTTCATGGAACGCACTCTCGGTGCGGTCATTCATGGCGCGCGCGCCAGGAGCGCGTAATCGATACCCAGCTTAAAGTATGCATAATCAAACAGATTTAATATTAAATAAAAATTTGTTAGAATAATTTAATCTAACGCCCAGTTCGTAGTTAATAATAGCATGTTTTGTCAAATTTACACCTTGTAATATTCACAATACTCAATAAAATTTGCGTTTGTATGCTAATTAATGGTATGTTATGGAATACCATTTATATTTGTATAAAGCTATTGAGAGTATCGCTTTCACATAGGAGATGCAATTTGATGTAGATAGTGAAGAAATTTTTAAGTTTTTAATACAAATTCAGCATAAAATATTCATTCGATTATAACGCATCTTTCAACCGTGTGTTGGAACTTCGGCTTCACACCAATGTATGAGCGCAACGAACACGTGCTCAGTGCTCATACTGCGAAAGAAAACATCGCGCGGAAACACATTCAAAATTTCATAAGCCGACGGTACAGTACCATTGTTTTTAAACAAGTTTTAACGGTGAACCAGTTTTTATAATGTTTATATTTTATAAACAAAAAAACATACTTTAAAACACTTGTATGAGCCAAGGCTGTACATTTTGCTCACTCCTGCTTTCTTAGTTTTATGAGCGTGGCGATTTCATCGTCGGAGTTACGCCCCGAGAGTATAGCCAGACGTCGGCACTCTCTTCGACTGTTACATTGCATTCATTCGTTTCATAGCAATTAACATTTCATTATTTCGCTTATATTCTATTGTTGTACGCAAGTGGTTATTATAGAGTAAAACTAAAACCGTCTATTTAAAGCTTCCCGATGACCCATGGACCTTACAACACTTTTAAATTTACAAATTTTAAAGCTTATTAAACTGAAAAGGATAATAAACAGCTGTCCATAAATATGTGAATAAAAGATAACATACTTTAATCGGATTTAATTATCGAATAAATATTCAAGGTAAATGAGCTCCAGTGGGATGGAAGCCATTTTCGTCAGCTGTGTAATCGACACGGTAGGTCAAGCCATCGTCTCCGACATATTCGTAAAATCCACGGACCTTGTTTCCTTCGTTGGCTGTCGCAACACTACCAGTTTCCTCAGCGGCTATACCATTTTCCGTTTGGAAACTGTAGCGATATCCGTTAGCGCTTGAGTCGCTGTCCTGGGTAATTATTCTGGCGCTTCGTCCATCCAAGTACTGGTGTTTTGCGTATAGGGGCACATACTTGACAACCGATGGAATTACAGGTACTGCGGTACTTGTGACAATTGGAGGTCGGGCTGTTACTACAACGTGCGGGATGTCGCTGAAAATACAAAATCAATTATAATCAGTAATTCTAACTTATACTTCAAATATGCCCGAAGTACATTCACATTTCAACAAAGGCTTTATTTATCTACGTAAAGTTTAGGCTGCTATAATTCCTTAAAACCAAACAAAAAAGATTGATCTAAAAAAGATAACGCCTTGCGTTTAATAAGAGCAGAAATACTCTACTATCTTTACAATTCTTTAAGCTAAGGAAAATACTTTACTTAGTTAAAAATGCAACTTTTAGTATACACATAATATTAAGATTTACGAATTCCATTTTCAAATATACCTCTTAACGAAGGGCGCAACAAGTTCCTGGTAGGGCTTCAATGAGTTGTAGTAGAATGGGTTGTAGGCTGCATTGTAGACGTTCCTTCCGTAGTAATTGTTGTATCGATTGAGGTCATAGTAGCGACCGTCAGTAGTCGGCTTATACAATCCCTCATTCCCATACTTCTCTGGGTGGTATTTACCGTCATCGCCTGACGCGCAACTAATCACAGCTACGAGAACTAATGCCTGCGAATAAAATACGTTGATTTACATCTTGAATACTAAGTAATAGTAATAAGGGAGATATAAATTACATTTGTATAAGCTTATTAGCTTTTGAGAGTAAGAAGAAACATTGCTGAATGACTGATTAGGGCATGGCCAGTCTATTCCAAAACATATGAATACTTTCAGTTGGAAAGTGCATCGTACAGTTTACTGCTAAGGTAAATTATGAGGAAACTTTTCATGTTAAAACGCTTACTTAGTTATACATTTATAATTAAACGTTTGTTTATCTTACCGCGAAATCAACCGTCAACGGTTTTATTGAAAAAAGACGATAAGTGATTTCATTTCACCTATAATAATAGATGCTTAAATGTTCAAGAAATCCCTAGTTAAAAACAAATAATAATATTTATATTAAAAATCTATTAATAAGATAAGAACGTCAGGCTCTTGATGAAGTGATAACTATATTTATAAAGCGTCTGGTTTCTAACTAAACGCCGTGTGCAGCAAATAAGTTTATTTATTTCAACGACAAATTTAATCCGAGGGACACGTTACAATTTGAAGATAATTGTCAATACAACAAAATATATCAAATAATGTATACGTTTTATTGCTTATATCGTTAGTATGTCTATTCAGCTATTAAAAAATTATTAAAATGTATTTTTTTATCAGGTAAGTTTTTTATTGATAAAATCAACGCTCGGCACATTACATTGGTAAAAGAAACACAAAATACAATTTGAATGTGACGACTTAAAGGCAAACATACACGAAGAGATAATACAAATATTAAACAAGTCTAAGTTTTAGAAGAGAAAGAGTGCCATTAAAATCACTAAACACAGTTAAATCTATTATCAACGACACTTAAAACATACATATATATGAACACATATACAATTTAATAAAACTACAAATAATTCACTATTCGATAATTACTGGTAATATATACAAAATCCACTCACCACTATACACTTCATGATTAAAGACTCTTTCAGGCCCAGAAACAAAAGAACAATGGTGATCTCTATAATCTATCGTTTCATTTTATACAATTTGATTCGAAAATGGAGTATTTATTAGGAGATTAAGAGCCCCTTATAAGTAGAAAAAGTAATTTACATCTTCTGTTTGTTAAGGTTAGGTCTACGTATTTGGATTGATCTGGTTAAAGTTGCGTCATTTAACGCGCCCATGCTCGAATATCGATCATTTGATGACATTTAACTGATATGGCTTCCATTTATTTTATTGGTATTTTAAATATATTTAATTCCACATCAAAATGCTACTGTTTGATATACTTTTTATTGGATTAAAAGCAGTCTTAGTCTAGGATATGTCAACCCTTTTTTGACATGGTGAAAATGAAAATGTGCATCTACTTCCCGTTTAAGTTGCAGGGGTATGTGGGACTCGACCCACACCAGAGTCTCGGCTATTCAGAGACCGGGTGAGCAATACCCATTTAAACCAAATCGAGTAATTCCTACAAAGCCGCGTTACAGAGGCTCCGGGCTCGCTCTCGTATTCTACCGGGGCCACAACGGCATAATTGTTATGCTTGAAACCTCCGGTGCAGTGTATACTACACAGGAGGTAGGGGATGGGCATATCTTCTACTATTTACTCTGCGTCTAGCGGTAGGATTCATCCTATAGCACTCTCTCTCGTTCTAGTATCTCCTTCAGTTCTGTAGCATTACAGACCATTTGTTGGATAACACAAGGCAGAGCAAGGTTGTTCCTGCCCATCACAGAATAAAGATGTTGACGAAGCTGAGTCCAAAATTAGTGTCCAACCAATCCAACGTATGCTGTGCCGTGTCATAATTTGAGCCACACTCCAAGCAGTTCGGTGATGTTTCCCGCCGCACGATGTCATGCAAGTATTGCCTAAAACATCCAAACCAAAGTTTTATTAATGTTAAATCACATACATAATCACTTACGACACTTAAACCTCAAATTAAATTAGGCCTTTAAACCTTTTAAGAATTAATACGCTCTTTTGAAGGACCCTAAGTCGAATAGGTTCGGAAATACGTCAGTGGGCAGCTGGTTCCACATAGTGGTGGTGCGCGGGAAAAACTGCCTTAAAAAACGCTCAGTTGTGGAACGACGGACGTCAACTCGGATGGAAATTCGTATTCTGCCTCGATGTACGATGATGAAACTCAGCTGCAGGTATTACTACCAACAACTCCTCTGAACACTCTCCATGGTAAATGTGGTAGAAGATGCAGAGTGACCCCACATCTCTAATCAAGGGATCATCTCATCGCCAAGGAATCAATCCGCTTGAGAGGAATTGGTCGTCTACGATTCGAACCGCATTTCATTGAATACCTTCAAGCGGAAGGAGCTGTTTAAATTAAATTGAAATGACTTATTATGTACAACAACATCTCTTAATATGTCTTGACAAAACCTTTTCAGGAAATGCAGTCTGTAAGTATTTATTATGATAATACAAAGGATTCTTTCAGAACTCTCTTTCATAAAAATATTTTAATTTGTTTAGTAGACCTTAAATAGAATACACCTTTTGTAATTTTCAGAGCAAAATACGCAAGAAATCTAAAACATTATAATTAATACTAGCTGATACGGCAAACGTCGTTTTGCCATGTATATCATTTATAATAAAAAATAGGGGTTGATCGTAGAGGGGTGAAAATTAGGGGTTGTATGTATTTTTTAATGTTGTATCATAAAAAAAATAAAAAATAAAAATTTATCTAAAAATAAATTAAAAAAAATTAGGGGTGAATTCCCCTAACATTTAGGGAGATGAAAAATAGATGTTGTCCGATTCTCAGACATACCCAATATGCACACATAAATGAGAATCGGTCTAGCCGTTTCGGAGGAGTTTAACTACAAACACCGCGACACGAGAATTTTATATATTAGATTATGAGCACAACGGCATTTTTTAAGGGGAAAATAAGCAGGATACTCATATGTTGGTTAGGCAGAGCTGACCGTGGCTGCTAGAGGGCTCGTGATAAGTTCCTGTGTTTTCATTTTATTTACTCGCACATCCTTATATGTAATGTATAAGTAATAAATAACAAATAAGATCTGTGCAGATAATGTATCAGGAATCAGCTCTTTGTGGCAGAGGATAAAGAGACTTTAGATATGGAGCGGAGATGGAAGTCGAACAACTAAAATGTTTGTTGAAATTTTGCCAGACTTTGTTCATTACTAAACTACACCTGAGGTATTTTTAATGCAATTTACTGTAAATGTTATTTATTTATTTTTATAATAAAAAAACTACCAACAAATTGTATTACTATTAAAAAGAAAAACATATTATTTTCATAGTATTGTCTTTGATTTACATAACCTTTACACATTTAAAGAAAAAAACTGTTTGACCGGATTGAAGTTATGTATTACAGTAGAACCTCTATAAGTCGAACATCAAGGGAGACGCCAAAAAATTCGAGTTATAGAGTTTTCAACTTATGGAGGATTTCGACTTAGGCAGATTTTGATTCGACATAAAGAGTTTGAGGTTTTAAATTTCTAAATTTCCAAGGGAATCAAAATTGAACACCTGACACAAAGCAAGCAAACACGTGTTTCCATGAGTCATAAATTTATTATTGTATACTCCTAAAATGTTTTCTAAGAAACAATAGTGTACTCACATTGGCGGCAAGTTCTTAAAGTCGGTAACTTATTTTTGTTCGAACAATAGAGATAATAAATTCCAAATGATCAAGTTGTAAAGGTTGTAAAATAAAACGTTCCTATGTTCGAGATACAGAGGTCAAATTTAATTTTTCGAGTTATAGAGTGATAATATTGTTACGAGCTAGGGGATCGGATAGAAACGCCGTAAATCTCTTCAAGGGTTTATTTTCAATTAAATCTACGAGGAATTTGTTAACACTAAAAACTGGAAATTACGCACAAAAATTCACTAAATACACACACAAAATACTGTCACTTATTACTCTAATTACACGCACTTCACACAGTACTTGTATTCACTTTATTCGCACTTTGTCACTCCGGTGTTTATCGCTTGGTATCGCATTCAAAACTGAACTAATCGGTCGCGTTTCGGCTCGCTTATATATCCCTGGGAGCGATGTTCGAGAACTCTCTAGGCGGCAGTGCAACTGAGTAGCGATCGCACAATTCTAGAACGTGCGTACTAGCTATCTCTTTCGCACATTGCTCCGTCCTTGTCGTACGGCGTTCTAGAGTGCTCGGTCTAGCTTCGAGAAGGTTCCGATCTTCCTTCTCTCTCGCGTATCGTTCCGTCCTTGTCCCACACCTAGAAAATTCGTTCTAGAACATTCCTTCGTCAAAGGGGTATAACCAGGCCTGAAAACGCCTGAAAACGGGTTTCCTGAAAAGTGTACCATTCGACTACACGTGTTCTGAAACGGCCTGAAAAAATGTTTCAGGCTCCTGAAAACTAGGGTAACATTATGTAAATTGCGATTTTCTAATATGTGATTGACCCTCCCCTGAAACGGTCAGAAATCACATTTCAGCCTGCTGAAAAGTTCTCTAAGTAGTGGAAAAATCTAAAAACATTGCAGTCGACCCGTCTTCGTAACACTACCCCCCTCCTTAGACATGCTCGTCCCGAGCATCATTACTTCCTTTATAGGGAGCCAATCGATTTATGTGAACGACTTTCGGTTTGCTTCTTAAACCACTCATTTTCTTTATCCGGTAAGTAAAGTCATTAATCTTCGTGATTATCGTGTATGGACCATCCCAGTCAGCTTGAAGCTTTGGTGATTTGCCTTTGCGTTTTGTTGGATTATGGAGCCATACTTGCGAGCCTTCTTTAAATTCTATGTGATTCGTCTTTCTGTCATACCTAATCTTCGTAGTCTCACTTATTTTGCTTTGTGATGCTCGTACGTGTTCATGGATTTCATGCAGTTTATTACGCAAATCCGCAGCATATTCTGTAACACTCTCCGGGGTGTCAGGTGGTCGTCCCGTTACAATGTCTGCTGGTAATCTAAGTTGTCTCCCAAACATGGCTAAAGCAGGTGTAACATTCGTGGTTTCATGAACCGCAGACCGGTATGACATTAAAAATAATGGAATATACTTGTCCCAGTCTTTTTGATGGCTGTCCACCAGTTTTGCCAAGTGCCTTTCCAAGGTTTGATTAAAGCGTTCCACCATTCCATCTGACTGTGGGTGATATGGAGTAGTCCGCGTCTTATGAATTCCCATTAGTCGGCATACTTCTTGAAACAATAAAGACTCAAAATTTCTTCCCTGATCACTGTGAATCTCCAAGGGTACTCCGAATCTAGAGAATACGTCATTTACAAGTATCTCAGCTACTGTAACTGCCTCTTGATTGGGAATAGCGAACACTTCGGGCCACTTCGTAAAGTAATCCATAACAACCATGATGTACTTATTTCCTTTTTCTGTTAACGGAAATGGTCCAGCTATGTCAACGGCTATCCTCTCCCATGGAGCTCCGACATTGTATTGCTTCATACCAGCTCTAGTTCTCGTCTGTGGGCCTTTGACTGCTGCACAAGCCTTACATTTCCGAATCCAGTCTTCCACATCTTCACGGCAATGTATCCAATAAAATCTCTCTTTAATTTTCAGAAGAGTCCTTTTTACTCCTAAGTGTCCGCCCGATGAGCCATCATGAAACATCTCCAAGATGTTGCGAACCTTGGATCTTGGCACAACTAACTGTAGATGAGAAGCATCCCCTCGAGTGTTTTCCCATTTGCGACATAACACTCCATTATGAAGAACTAAGCTATCCCATTGAGCCCAGTAACTCTTGGTCGTGGTGCTAGTAGATGCAACATCATTCCACCGCGGCTTGATAGCTGAAGATTTCATCCAGTCCAGAATTGGTTTAATGTCAGAATCTTGTTGTTGCTCTTCCTGAATTAATTTCCCACACCAATCTGGACTAATGGTGTCTGTCCTTAGTATCCTTACATGGGCTACCTCTC